AGTGTGTTCAGGAAATATTTATTATTATATTTCTCAGATTGGTTGTCTCATGACAACCTGAGAATTTGAGCACCTCAAGCTACTGTCTTCCTGGTGAAGAAGAAGAAAAAGGGGAGGGAGTGTGTTGCTGGCATGATCTTGCTGGGACTTGTCAGGGAGTGCATGACTCTGGGGGTAGACTGGATTCTCAGGTATCCTTGGACTTCCTGGTTACCCCAGCCTAGGGCAGGCAAGTGTTGCAGTTTGACTACAACTGAGCCATCTCCTGAGACGTGTGACTTGTGTTAAAACTGGCAAGGCCCCAGGAAAGTCAGGATGATGACTTGTTGACCTACAATCTTAACTGCAGGCTTTGTCACTGGTGCTTGGTCAGGGTGTGCCATGGAGGTCATTTGGGAACTTGGTACAGGGCTTTCCATTCCTGGTGTGTATTCGGCAAGAATGGTTAATGGATCTCCATTTAACCAGCAAGCAGAGACTAATCTGGTCTTGGGATCAAGCTCAACCCAGGCTGAGCAAGCTCACAGATTAATTGAGTTTCCTAGTTTATGGCTGCTTGCGGGGCTGGTGACTGCCTACTGGGGATAGAGGTGGGGGAAGTGGTTAGATTTGGATCCTGGCTGTGTTCACTTATGTCTGAAACTCTCCAGCTAGGGTGATTTTTATCTTTTTTTCTTCCCCAGGAATTAATCAGTGGGCCACAAAATATCAAGGACATGGAGCTAATTTATTGCTTTCCACTGGGGACATAGGCAAGTGGAGGAGGGGAGAAGGAGCGGGTTTTCTCAAACTCAGCTGTGGTGAGGGGGACTTTTAGCTGTTAGGAGGCAGAGCCTTCCTTGTTGACTACTAGTAGACACTGGTAGTAGGGGCCTTGGTGATTACTCACATGGGCAGGGATGATAAAGGGGGACTGATTCTCCCAGTTTTAGCACTGAGAGTCTTGGGAAACCCTGCAGTCCTGGGAAAACCAGGACAATTGATTACCCTCGTGAAGGGACAAGTCCTAAGAGTAGGGGCATTACGTGTGCACTTATAGGTGATGAGAGTCAGAACTGAGGGCCCAGAGCTGTTTTGGGAGAAAGTCAGGGTCCAGAATCTAAATCATTTAAAGACTTTCATGGTGCCCAGAGTAAAGAGCAAATGATCTGCAGACTGTATCTTTCTGGGCAGGCCTTGTGGATGGGAACAGCTGGAGTCTGGCTGTTCTCAGTCACTCTGAGAGCAAGGGCCTGGGACGAGGGGATTGTTTTAGTGTGAGTGGATGCTGGGGGTAGGAGGAGGGGTCCACAAACTAAGCAGCCATCAAATTATTCTGCTCCATAATTTTTTTCTAAATTTCTTTTTAGGAATCATATATGTTCCTCTGATGGGGGTAGGCCAGGGGAGCAGAGCTAGATGGAGTAGGACTTTGGCCTTCATCCTTATTTTGATCTAGAGGGCAGACTTCAGCAGCTGTAGGGAAATCCCAGGGAAGCTTGACTGAAGCTGGCAGTCTGAGCCTGTTCCAGCCAGTCTTCCCTGACTGCTCGGAAAAACACATGCACATACACCTGAGCAAGAACTGCTTCTGTCTTGCAGGATACTGTGTAAATATTCATGTGTCTTGTGACCTTTTGAAAGAAAACTCGCTCTCTAAGAATGTATCCAGAGGTAGACTTCACATTTTATCTGCTGGATAGGAGGATAAATATGCCTGAGTCCTGAGGGATTTGAGGGTGAGCCTCTTATTCCAGTAGATATAAGCTCCATGACAGTAGGATCTGGTTTGTTTTGTTTACCATGGAACTTTAGAGCCTAGACCAGTGCACAACACACGGAGGCTCAGCAGCTAAGTAGTGAGAGAGCTAGCGAGCCGCTCAAGTCCTTTCTGAATGCGTAGGGCAATGGTTGTCACACTTGGCTCTCCGTTAAAAGCTCCTGGAGAGCTTTAGCAACATCTCAATGCCCCGGCCATACCCAATGCCTATAAGTTGGAATCTTTGGAAGTGACATCTACACATGAGTATTAAACTCCAGTGTTGCAGTGAGGAATCTCCTGGGACGTGTGACTTGTGCTAAAACTGGCAAGGTGCCAGGAAAGTCAGGATGATTTGTTGACTCAGTCTTAACTCCAAGATTTATCTGAGAACAAGTGCCATACCGTGTGTGTGTCACATGTGGCTTTATTACTTTAAGCATGATTCATGAACCAGTAGCTACAAGCATTACCTGGGTTTTTGTTAGAAATATGAGCTCTCAGGTCCCACTCTAGACCTACTGAGTCAGAATCTGATCCGAATAAGATCTCACTGATTGATGTCACCGTGGGAAGCACTGCAGTGTGTCTTGGGGATAGAGAATCCCCTGGTGCTTTGGGTTGATGAAATGAAGAGAACAGTGGGAAATAATGCTGGGAAGTTTGGACCTAATAGGCAGTGTCGAGCCATGAATAGATCTTGAGCTTGGGAATATGATTGGAATAGTCCCTGCCAGTGGGATATCGTGTCTTAGAATGTCACCTTCTCTTGTAGGTGCTGCTCCCAGCAGCCAGCTTGCTGCAGCTCATGGATGTTCGGCAGAACTGCTGTGACTTCCTGCAGTCTCAGTTGCATCCCACCAATTGCCTGGGCATCCGTGCATTTGCAGATGTGCACACCTGCACCGACCTTCTGCAGCAGGCCAATGCCTATGCAGGTAACCGGGAACTGGAACACTGCACCTCCTCTGTGGGCTTGTGGATTTAATCTCCTGGCCTGCTGTGGACTCCTCAAAGATTATGAGAAGTGGTCTCTGCTGTGAAGCAGCTCTGATTTAGTTAGGAGACAAAGCACAGATGGGAAGGTAATTAGCAATAGGTGTATTTAGCTCATTGCCAAGTGGAATATGATTAATTGCTAGATGGGTGGTATAGTAGAGGAAGGAGATCTGAGAAGTCTTTGGGGCACAATAAATTGAACTAAGTGTTGAAAGAGATCTTTTGTTGTTATTGAAGACGATTTTAATTTTGGTCATGATTTTAATTTTACAGCATGTTCTGTAAACATGAAGTTAAAAGTCAGATACTGTTTGTTGCTAGCCTTCTATTGATAAACACATCCCCTGCTCTTCCTTTCCACACTGTCTTGCTTTCTAGGCTACTGACTTTCAGTCCTAACAACTAAAATGCAGGTTCTGACTCAGCTAAAACCTGCTTCATCTGCTATCTACCTCCATTGATCTAAGCAGTTTGTTCCTACCATTAATTTTTGGTTTGTTGACTTTAGAAATTATGTGTTGACTTCTGCACAAAAATCCCACTGGGCTTTCTAAACCTTATCCTTGTCCACACACACACCTGCTCTTCATTATTTGACAGTCACTACCACAAATGAACCAAGTCATGTATTAATTTTTAATCAGAAAATTCTTTATTTTCCTTCAAATTAGACAGGAAGCTAGTAATTGTGTTTTTCTTTTGCATATCAATGCTACAACCTCTATCTAGTTTTTGTCAAATACAACTGAACAATCCTCAATCTGATAATGTGTTGATTCCATTTTAGTTGTCTGGGAGACATTCTCCGTGTTAGAGCTTGTCATTCCATTATTTTAATGGGACCCTGGAGGGAATAGAGATGAACTGAAAATTCAGCCCACCATGTTTAGCAGGACAGAAATCTTCATTACTATTTTTTTTTTTTTTTTTAGCTAAAGGAAAGATCATAAGGGACCCCACATTTTTTTGATAGATTCACTTTTGGCTGCCTCCTGTCCTTGCAATAAAAAGCTTCATTTTACCCACTCCCCAGACAAACTCTGTTCTCTGCCTCCTGTCCAGCAGTGTGTGGCAGGGAGCGGAGGACCAGCTGGATGCCCACCTGTAGCTCCCTGTGGTTCATGAGGTAATTAGTATGTGCTGTGTCTCTCGGCATCCTCTTGTTTTCTCACCAAACCCCTGACTCCAGGAGACTGCACAGATTCTCATTTTGCCCTGAGTCTGTGAGGGCACAGATAGGACTGGTTGTTAAGATGGGCTTGGTGGTTATGACATTTGTAAGGACATTTCCTAGTAGCCTCACTTCTGAATCCTGTTGCCTCTTGTCAGTCTGAACCTCGACTCTGCTGTTCCTCTGCTGTCCCTCTTGTGCTGTCCTTTCCCTTGCATTTCCCCACCAGACTTCTGCCTTTTCTTAAGTCCCCCTTTCTCTTCAGAGTGATGGTTCCCCAGCCCAATCTCTGCAGAGGCCACTTTCTTGATGGATGTGCTCTGGCTTTTCTCCAGCAGGAGTTGATAGCTTGGCCACGGCTGTTTGCTTGTGTGGTGGCAAAGAAGGAGTGCTCAGGTGCCAGGAATTCTGTGGCTCCTCCTTTGTTTCCCTCATCAGCCCTTTCCTTCTGCCCAGTGTGTGCATAGATCCGTGCACATGCAGCACATGTTCCATCCTTCTGTAGTTGGCTGATAGGATTGTTTGAGATTTAGGGAATGTGATGAACTCTCACCTTTAACAAAGGCTCCCAGGCTCATGTGGCTTGGCTTTTCCCCTCTTTCAACATCTATATTCTCCTTTTGCCCTTTTTTCTATCTGGTGGTGCAAATGCATCTGTGGGAGAGAGGGGAGGATGCAGTTTGGACCATGTCCACCATCATTGTGTTTCCTGGTGCTGATGCTGTCATAGTGTTTGGGTTCGGGCAGCATTGAGGGTGCATGTGGATGTGCAGATACCCCGATGGATTCTCTTTAGCTAGCATTTGATGAGCTCTCGCTTTGGGTCACATCCTGTGTGAAGCATTTTATGGGCATTACTTTGTTTAATTCACAGAACAGATGAGGAAACCATAGAGAGGTAAAATAACATGAAGCCATATAGCTAGCAGGGACAGAAGTGGAATTCAAACCCAGACAGTTACTCCAGAGCTGACATTTGTACTACCACTGTCTACAGCTTCCAGGCCCCATTTGGATGTAAGAGACCTTGTGAGTCAATGAATGAGGAGTGCAGGTGGCTGCAGATGGCATTTTCCATTAGAAGTGTGTGCCTGGAAACCTGTGCCATGTAGTCACCAGATTCCAAGAACAGACAGCGTAGACAGACACCCAGCTGTCTTCTAAACACAGGGTGTCTAGTCATTTTGGAGTAGGGAAGCATCATGTGGGCGTCTCCTTCTCTTCCTGGTTGGGCCGTTTCCTCCCCACACATGTTGCCTGTTGCCTCACTGCAGGAGGGAGCTGTCTCACTTTCCCTGGCTCAGTCATTATCATCCTCAGGCTGAGGGCTTCCTCCCTGTGTGCAGGCCCATGACCATCTCCCAGATGGCTTTCTTTGCAGCCCTCAGCTGTGCACACGAAGGAGGTTATGTAATGGGATAGTGCAGAAGTTAAGACAATGATGAGAAGAAATTAGAAGTGAAGGGCAGGAAGCCTGTAGTGTCTAGAATGAAAGTACAATGTGTTATGTGTGTTGTACAATGTGTTATGTTATGTTATGTTGCAGTGATGTGGCTCTGCTTTGTTTTCTTGGTCTTGCACACTGGTGTTTAAATGGGGCCTGGTGCTCTTTACCATTGCTGCTTCTTGAGAGGGACCGGCTGCTTTGTCCCTTCATAATGGTAGGCACCCACAAGAGACAGTGTTGTTCTGCCCAGTGATCACTGGTCTCCTGGGCCCTGACTTTTGTTAGGTGTTTCAAGCCAACAGATTGTAAGGCGACCATCTAATGCTTTGGAGCTAATTGAACCTGGGCTCCTTTTCTCCTCTATGATGGATGTAGTCCATTCTGTCTTGTTTCTAGGATGGTTTGGAGATAGGGTCAAGGAGGAGAGGCCGAGCAGATACCCTTGCCTGGGCTCTGCAGTCCTCCTGCCAGCCTCCTCATTTGCACTGAGAGTCTCAAAGCCGAGTCTAGGCTAGAAAGCAGGAGTCCTTGAGCTACCTCCACTAGTGCTGCAAGCCACACACAATTTGGGGATGGAGGATCATTTCCAAGGATTTCTGCCTTTGGTTTCTTTTTCTCCAGGTGCCCCAGGCAAATATGTCCTTACTGCTTCCTCATTCTCCCCAGGCTCTGGCCAGCTGGGCTGTGCCTTCACTTGTCTGCTTGTTCCTTTTCCAGTGAAAACCCATCCCTGATCAGAACAGAAAAAGTGGATAGGCAAAAAAGAACATGAAAAGCACCACCATCTACCCAAAGAGAACCATGACCAACACCTTGATGTATATCTTTCTGAGGCCATCTGGATCTTTCTCATTGTATATGTGTGTTTTCCAGCTTAAAAAAAATTCTTAGCCGTTACCCATGTTGGCAGATACATTTCTTTACCATTGTCTTGAAACTTTAGAGAATGTAGTCAGTAAAAGCAACTTACACTTGTGCAAACAGTACATACATAAAAGAGCAAAGTTCATCTTCTAGGCCCTCTCTTTGAAGAGGACAAAGGGAATATATTAGGTAGCCATATAAAATTTGTATATTATGATTTTTTTTAACTGACATAAATAGAATCATTCTGTACTCATTGTGTTTTTGTTTGACTAAAAACAAAGTCTTGGAATTGTTTCCAGATCCTTGTGGATGGCTGTATCTTATTATAATTTTTTATCTGCTGTATCATGTGGATGAAGTATAATTTATTTAATTAGTCCTCTGTCGATGGACACTAATGTTTTCATTTTTTTCTTATAGAAAATGCTTCAGTGAGAATTCTTATGATAATTTGGAATATATTTGCTAGTACTCCTGTAGGGATGCCGCTTTGATACTATTGATTGTTGGACCAAAGAGAATGTGCATTTTTAAACATTCTGATGGAGTTGGGGATGTATTCAGTTTAGAACACTTAGCTGGCATGCACAGCACCCTGGGTTCCATCCCTGGCACCACATAAATGAATGAATTTATAGGTATTGCCAAATTTCTCTCTCAGTAAAACAAAGGAACCTTATTTTTAAGGCCAGTTCTGGCTTTCTGAGAAGTCTTCAGCCTCCCTGGTGAGAGCAGGACTTTGGGAGGGGGCTGGAGCACCTTCCTTTCTCCAGGAGGCTGTTTGGATCCCTGACTCCTGAAGTCCCTTCTGTTTCCTGTAAATCTGGTTTCCCTCTTAGACTGATACCCCTGGGTTTTTACTATGATATTTGTTCTGTGGTGGAAAAGAGTGGGGCCCACATTTAGAGGCTGCCTGTTCAGATTCCTGCTCCCAAGTAACACTCTCCCAGTCTTCCTGTGTAGCTGGTAGCTGGGAAAGGGACCCTAGTATCTTATGCAGCCTATTTCTTATATATCATTATTGTTGTTTCCAAGGACTGCTTAATTTTTAACCTCAGAGGCCAGGGCCCAGGTTATTGTTATTTGGCCATGCACTGGGCTATCAGCAGAGCTGGTGGGGAGGGATGTTAATGGGACTTCATTAATGAGATGGCAATTAAAATTCTTTGAACATGTTGTTTACATCAGTCTGCCAAAGTTGAGCTGAAACCCTCCAGCCACAGGATGGAAAAGCCATTGGATTTCACGTGCTCATGGAGAGAAATGGGCTCCTCCCCCACCAAATTGATTGAGTCATTTGAGACCTTGGAATGAAGTAATTAAATTAAGGGCTGTAGGAAAGTTTGGCAAAGCATTTTAAAGTCATTGACCTCTGACTCACTGAGGATCTTCTTATAAAACTGCTGCCCCCAACTTGGCATCAAGAAGTGGTGGTGGTGGTGGTAGTGGTGGTG